CTTTTCTGCCCTGTGCCCTGGAGCTGAAGGAAGACATCTCTGGCTGAGCCACAGCCAGTGGCTATCAGTCTCTGCAGCCTTGCTGCCTCCCTTCCCAGGTGGGCCTGGAGCACTGGGCCCTGGACCACGTTCTGTGAATGAGGAGCCCAGCAACTGCTGCCCTTGAGTGAGGAGCCCACGGCTGTGGGAGGCCAATGGATGAGGTCAGCAACCCCTCCAGCACTCGGAGAACAGCCTTCCTCTCGCCCCGGATGCACTTCTGCTGGGAAAGGAGGTTCAAATATATGTTGGCTCCAAGGGGCAGCAGAAGTGGCGCTGGGGGAAGATTGATGCCTGGGGACAGCCCACAGTCTCATCTCCCCCCTTTCCCTCCCCTCTATCACACGATCTGTGTTCCATGGCCAGCACACACGGGCACAGGCAGGTGAGGCCGGTACCTCATACAGTCCTTCAACACCCGGCAGGGCCCAGCTGTTGTCCAGACATGCAGGGCTGAGGTAATTCACAAGTTAGTACTAGTATCAGCCACAGATTGGAGTCCCTGCTCCCTGGGAACACAACAGCCTCATAGGCCACTTCAGCTCCAGCAGAGCACCCGGTGCCCAAAGACCCATGGCTGCTCCCTTCTGCTTTGACTCCTCCAAGCCTCAGGAAGCATTTACTTGTGACCAGTTCTTCCACTTTGGTCCCCACCATCCCCTCAGAAGAGTCTTCAGCTGCTGTTGGTTTCCTGCACATGCTTGACTGTTTGTGCCTGACTGTATGCTGGCCTCAGATGAGCATAGAGAATTTTGCTTGATTCTATTCAGGTGGCCATTGAGCATTTCTGTGTCTCCCTGTGCTTCTTTGACCCTCATGAGGGCATGTGCAGGTCATAGCAAGGGGACTCTTGCTCGCTGTGCTCACGAGCTGCACAGAGTAGTGGGTTCCCTTTGACATAAGGAACAGTGGCTGGACTGGAAGCTACAGCCACATGGTGGTACCTTCAACCTGGCAGAGAGGTGCCTGGAAAGCGAGCACTGAAATGCAGTCTCTGCCTCCTGAGCCCTCCATTTCTTGCTTTCTGTGCACGGAGAAAGGGCAAGGAAGACGTCCCACCTCATACTGGCCTTTATCACCGAGTGGATCCCCTTGTGATGCAGTGTTAATGGTGACTGGGATGGGACACGGGCTTCCCACCTACATGCCAATGACCAGCGCACTTCTGCAGCTCATCAGCCAGGCAGGAGCCGGGACCTCGCACCAAATCTGCATTGGACTATAGGGACACGGGTCTGACGCGGAAGTCTCAGACACAACATACATGATCAATTTGATCAAGTTAATGCCACTTTATTAAACGATACACAGCAATTTATACACTAGCACAAAGCGCACGTTTTGGTTGCTAATAGGTAAAAGCTTCTTGTTCATGCACCTTCTGCCTTCTAGTGATTGGTCTCACTGAGGCGTACACACGTCTTGCTCTGCTATACCTACATTCTGTTTCTGCACCTTGTTATCTTGTATTTTACGTTCCAACCTCCTTACCTCTTTGCAACACAGGCAGTTTCTCAAAACCCCAACTTCCTTATCTCTTTCAATGTTGCATATGTTCTTCACAACAACTGCAGTTGTGAGGCCTCTCGGTCTGGATCGCTCATAATGTGCCCATTTTCTTCCAGCCACTCCACAGAGGTCCAGACATTGCTCTGCTGTGAGGTGTAGGATAGTTGGACCAATCCAACTTAGAGCTAGTGTAGCTGAGGGCTGGCCATTTGTCTGGCTTGCTGAGAACACACCGGTTGACATCCCGACAGAGCCGCACGGTGAGGCACATAAGAAGGCTCTGACATGGTGGGAATTTTTTCGCCAAGGGTCTACGTTCCAATCACTACTGAGCTGCTCCTCAGAGCTGCTGATGAACTTAGCACCCGTGCTTTGAGCTTGCCCAGGAAGGAATTGCCACCCCCGTGCTCTACAAACAAGGCCCTTCTCCCCTTTTTGTTCGGGTCATTTTTACTTTTGAGCCCTTCCTCTTCTCTTCCCCAGGCACTTCCCGGGCACTCCCTCTTGTGATTCTCCTGACGTTTCTTGGACTGGAGCCCCTCTGGTGGCAATCCACCTCCCATTTCTGTTCCTCCAAATTTCTGTTACAGGGAGCCGGATGTGAGTCCACCTCAATGTCATCCAGCTTCACCTCCTCCCCTGTCAGAAAGGAGGAGGTAATTTGGATCCAGTGTGTCCAAAACATCCTGTCCAATTTCCTGTGTGCGAGGATGAGGTTTTTCCTCAAAAATACCCAACCAGCTCTTTGAATGCCTGTTCTCGATGTGGTGGCATGTTGGTTATGTGACACTTGATTGTGCTTCTGGGATGAGGTGGAGTGACTGCTCAATCATCTGTGAATGTTGTTGAGCACGAACTGTATATTTTTGTAAGCTGCCCATGAGAAAAACGTTTGTTAATCCACCTCCAGTCTCATCATGATAATCCACCATCTTCCTTTGCCAAAAATCTGCAATATCTTCAGGCAAGTGACAAAAAGACTCCAGAAGGTGCCTTCCCCATGCTTCCCAGCCTGAAATGTCAGAACTGCTGAGCACTAAGGCAGCCTCACCAGTGTGCTGAGGTGCCTGCTCAGAGGGCTCAAGGCAGCAGTTGCATGGTGGGCTCACGGGCCCTGCGGCCAAGTGTGCCCTCCTGGGGAATATCACCCAGTTCTTGTGCTGGGCTGGCCCCAGCTAGCAGTCCGTCACCCACACATCTTCTCATTAGTTCCCCCTGCCTCAGAGTGGTGGGGCAGAAAATAGGACGAACAAGAGCAAGAACACTTGCGGGTCACTATGAAGACAGGGAAATCACTCAGCTGCTACTGTTGCAGTCAAAACAGACTTCCCTTGGGGACTTTAATTTTAAAAATTGAAATGCTGATTTGGGTGTTGGGAAACAAAGATGACAAACTTTTAACAGACTTAGGAAAACACATTTCATAAGCCATAACACCTTCTTCCTTGTGTACTCTCTCTGTTCCTTGTTATTCTCTACTGCTTCTCTTCCCTTCTTACTTGTTTCCATTGCTGTAACATGGGTCCTGCATGGGACACAGTTCTTTTAGAGAAGTCCTTGTCCGAGTGAAGGGTATCGGTGGGATGCCCTACAGGTGACTCTCTGATGGGGGTTGGGGCTGTGCACTCTGCGAGACACCTCAGCCCTGACAAACTGTGTAATGAACTGCTGGGGATGCACGGGACACGGTATGGGCGTGACAGAAGAACAGAGGACTTGCCCTAGCAATCGTTGCCCTTGGATGCATGCCATGCCCCCTCCTTCTGGAGACGGGTTGGCACGGTGAGGAAGAGGTGGCTCTGGGCTCTAGCCAAGATAATTTCTCCTACCCATGTCAGCCTGGTTCCTCTGAAGACAAAGCGACAGGGTTGAGTCCTTCACTTGAAAACATGGTACATTAATTTCATGTTGTCAGAGATGAACTCATTGCTCCAGAAGGATGCTCAGCTTACTGGGTGTCTCACCATAGTTTAGCTCCCCTGGGTAAAGACATTGGCAGTGTTCTCTCCTCTTCCAAATCACACTTGATGACCTCTCCAACCACGGTCTACATTACTGAGGCAAAAGGGATTGCTTAGTCTGGAGAAAAGGAGGCTCAGGAGAGACCTTGTTGTTCTCTACAGCTACCTGAAAGGAGGTTGTAGCAGGTGGGTGTTGGTCTCTTTTCCCAAGTAACAAGTGATAAGATGAGAAGAACCAGCCTCAAGCTGTGCCAGGGGAGGTTTGGATTGGATATTAGGAAAGATCTCTTCCCTGAAAAGGTGTATTGCAGTCAAGACTAACATATTTTTCAGAGAAAATGGGATACAGCATGGCTAATAGCCTTTTCCTTTCTTAGACTCGATCACTGAGTGAGGCCTATACTGCAGGCAGGGACTGGCAAAGACTGCAGTGCTGGGAAGGGCCTGCATGTGAAGAGCAGTGGTGGTGTGAGCAGGGCTTGGGCTGTCCCTGCCTCAGAGGACTTGCGGAGCAAGGGAAGATGAGTGCAGGCAGGGTCATCCCCAGCGTTTGTGCTGTAGTTGGGTTGGTACCTGTCATGTACCACCGTGTCTTGGGACCACAAGCGATACTTGAGCCATGGGGCTGCCCATAGGGGTCACACACACAGTGAAGAGGGACTGGAGAAACGTGGATACTGGCAACTGACCCTGGTGCTTGAGAAGCAGGTTTTGTTAGGAGGTGATGAAGCCTTGGTCCCTGGGCAAAACAAGAATGTGCCCAGTGAGAATTAGGAAGGTGGTGTCTAAGCCCAGAGTTGTGGGCAGAAGGAGCATGGGTGGAACCTCCCATAGTTCATGGGGTGCTCTGTGTATGGGCCATAATTTTGAGCTCAGAAATGCCTACAGGAGTTCCTTTTCTGCACTCAAGAGACCACAGACACCCAAGGAAGGCCAGGATTTAGAGTATTACCCAGGGCTGAATGTCAAGATCTAAAAAGAAGTTTTCAAGTATCACTGAAAAACATACCTAATCCTTGGCATTAATACTGAAGCCGCGAGTTGATTGCACAGGGAAGATGGACACCTGAAACAAGCCATGGGATTCCTTTGGGGGTGTTCCATTTATGGGGAGTGGGGAGTCCATTGCACAGCCTGAGCATGGCTGATCCCAGTACTAACTTGTGAATTACCTCAGCCCTGTCTGGACAGCAGCTGGTCCCTGCCGGGCGCTGAAGGACTGTATGAGGTACCGGTCTCACCTGCCTGTCCCCATGTGCTCTGCCCATGGAACCCAGATCACGTAATGGAGGGAAAGGGAAGGGGGAGATGAGTTTATGTGCCTGTCCCCAGGTCTGATTTTCTCTGCATCCCCACTCCTGCCACCCTTTGGATACATGTTGTCACTCACGGCCATTGGCTATGGATTAGCAATGGATGTCTTCCTCAACTCCATGGAAAAGGGGACTGAAATTGTCACCTCAGAAGGAAGGAGGACTCAGAGGCCCAGGCTTCGATGCAGCACGACTTTAATGAGTCTAAAGAAAGAAAGGAATTATCCCAACGGCAAACCCAATAGCAGCCAACACGGTGTGTTGGAACTTCTGCGGAATGTCTCTGACTATCCCACAAAAGGAGGGAGGCCAATAGGTCCCTGCTAGGCAGGCTTTGGGAGACAGTGACAGCAAAGGAGAGAGAGAAGAGAGTGCAAGAAGGAAACAATGTCCTAAAGACCTTAATGCAAGGCCATTGGCTCTCTATTCCAGCAGCATGTTCTGAGGTCTCAAAGGGTCGTGCCCAAGGACGCTGCCAGCAGCTTTAGCAGGGGGGGCACCTTCTGCCGCAGTAGCGGCTGGTGATGCAGGAGAGGTCAAAGCCCCCCGAGTTGATGGGGACTCCCTCACAGCTGAGGATGCTGCCAACGGCGGCGGAGGTGGAGGAGCCCACAACGGTGTTCTGTGGGAAGGAGCTGAGGATGGGGCCGGGCAGGGTCACCACCACGGGGGAGGGCTCGATGACAACGGTAGAGTCCTGGCACTGCCTGACACAGGGCTCATTGCAGCTGTTGGCCAGTGGGGTCGGGCCGCAGGGCTGGCATGGCACGCAGGGCTGGCACGGGCTGCAGCAGGACATGTCTCGGGGCCGGAGGTGCACCTGGGGGAGAGGGCAGCAGGGAGCAGAAAACGGAGGCACGTGAGAAGCAGTAACGCACCCAACCACAGTGGAGCCGAGGCACCCCTGAGCCCAGCGTACGCTGCCCAGCTCAAAACCCCGGAGCCGCCCCCACTCAGTCCCAGGCTCTCTCTGCAGAAGAACTTCTCCCCCCTTCCCTCTCCCATGAGAAGCAGCTCCCAGCTCTGGCCTAGGACAGCCCGTGTCACCTGAGACATACACGGAGGAAAGACCTGATCTTGAAGGAGGAGCAGAAGAGGCTTCACACTCACCTGGTTCCCAAGGAGAAGGAGGCGAGAGAAGTGGATGAGAGAGGAGAGAGCTGGGCTGTCTTTTATAGTCGTCCTGCACTGCCTCGGGCCCAGAGGCACCCTCTGTGGAAGTAATAATTTTCTGACAAGCTCATGCCAAATGCAAACCATCCCAGCTAATGGCATGGGCTGTGTCCTGGCTTCCTGTACTGCTGCCTTTTCATTTCCTGGCATATGTCACGCGCTTTCCCATATGAAGGTTTCTGTAAGTACCGGGATGAGAGGCCCAAGGTTGTCTGGGGCAGAAATACGTCAGCACAGGTGGAAGACTCAACTCAAGTGCTAGTAGCATCCTGTGCAGTGTGTCATTCCTGTAGGCTTGTTTGTGGCAAAGTTGTCATGAAATGGGCACCGCTCCTGTGCTCCTTGTCCGATTGTGCCCAAGGACTCGCATGAGAGAGGACACCCCAAATGCTTTTTGTCCTCCTGCTCCCATCCCTCTCTGGAGGTCCATCACTGTTGCACACACGTGGGCTTCTGCTGGAAGGTTTTGACACTATTGCGACACTAACAGTACTCTGAGGATAAATTTGCTGCACTCTTGTCCAACAGGAGCATGAGTGGGGCCTGCTCTCTTCCCGGGGTACTTGCGTCGTGTTCTACCATTGTGGTCCAGAGCGTCTCCCCAACACGTTCCACAGCTGCCAATGGTTTCCTGGCTTTATGTGAGCATCCAAAGTTTTGCATGGCTCCATGCAGGCATGTGTGAGCACACGTATGTCCCTCTGTACTTGTGTGACCCTCATCGTGAGGGCATGTGCAGGTCATAGCCTGGGCACTCTCCCTTGTGTTTGTGAGCACCGCAGAGTAGCAGGTTGCCCATGCGAGGGGGAGTCCATCTGCAGTTGGAGAGCGGTGCCTTCGATCTGGCAGAGAGGTGCCCAGAGAACTGAAGCGCATTCTCTGCCTCCTGTGCCCGCCAGTTCTTGCTCTACATAGATGGAGGAAGGTTAAGAAAGCCTGCCCGCTTACGCAGGCTTTTGTCCCTGAATCAATGCCCTTATGATGTAGTCTTGCTGGTGACTGGGATGGGGCACAGGCTTCTCATGTACCTGACAATGCCAGATGCACTTCTGCATGTCTTCAGCCCCGTGCAGAGTGAGGCAGTGGACGAGACCTTGCACCAAAGGGATATTGGTCCAAAGGCACTGGGCTCCAGGTGTTGCTTGGCAGTGAGATATAGGACAGACCCCGGGTGCCACAGGGTGAGTCAAACAGCATTGTGTCAATCTTCTTTACTGTTCATTCACAAGCACTTCTGTAGCCCCCATAAAAACACAGAGTCTGATGGCCTAGCAACTGTGTCTGGAAAGGCAGAGACCTATGATTTTGTGGAAACCACCTACACCTTGCTGCCTGTTCAGAGGCAGGTCTGGCAAAGTCCATCTTTGCACAGAAAGAAACATGTGGACTGACCACAACCCCTCATTCCACATCCTACTGTGCTGATTAAGGATGGAGGAAATAGAAGAAAACGGAGTCTGTGAAAAAACGGTGGGGATGGAGTGAAGGTGTTTCTCCTTTTTTTCCTGTTTCTCAGAATGCTGCTCTATTTTTCATTGGTAATAAGCTAAAGGAATATTCTCCAAGTCTAGCCTGTTTTGTTTGTGTTGGTAACTGTTAAGTAATCCCCCTGTCTTTACGTTGACCCGTGACCTTTTTCACCTTACTTTCTCCTCCCGTCCTGTTGAGGAGGGAGAGGGAGTGAGCAAGCAGCTGGCTGGGTGTCTGGAAGTCAGGCAAAGTCTATGTGCTTTTCTAAAACGATGGTAATCAGGAGCGTCGTGAGTGTTTGTCATTTGCACGCTTTTTTCCTGCTTTCTATCTGCGCCATCAGGAGCAGTCTCTTTCTCCCACTACTTTTCCCCTCTGAGGATATTGGGCAACGATGTCAAATGGCTTTTGTGCTTGTGTACCTGGTGTGGTGGATGCACTCGATGCCCCATCACCAAACTAGCAGGAGGTTGGTACAGGCTCCAAAGGAGGTCAAGGCCTGAGCTGTGGCCAGGCCAAGAACTCCTCTAGGAAACCCACAAAGGAGCAGAGGACAGTGAGTACCAGTGCATATGAGCCTGGCACACCCTGAATAGCGGGTGGATTTTCCAAGATTCATTTATCAAGGAACAAAGAAAGTTGTGGGTACAAGGAGTCTCCTGCATACCTTTCCCACTGTATGCAATTTGACTAGGAGCCAACCACTTTATCCCAGAAATATGACAGCCTAAGGGAGCCTTCGTTGAGCTCTCCCTGCTAGGCAGCATGGCTGCATGGCGGGCATCCCCCCTCGAGCTAGGATGCCTCTCAAGTTTGCTCCTCGAAGCAATGAGATCTTCCTCCAACAACAGATCATTGCATGAGCCCGATGTGATCTCTCCCTGTATGGCAACTGGACTGCACGCCAGGCAACTCTCCCCCTAAGCAGGGGTGCCTCTCACTGTGAAGAGATACTAGTCAATTAGCTTAAATAGCTAAGATTTAAATAGAATGAATCAGTTATGAAGTTGTTTGATTTAGTCTGCTGTTTGCTTAGCTTTAGTCACTTTGCATGAGTAGCTAGATTTGCCAAAGCCTCGGGCCACAAGCTGTAAACTTTCACCTAGATTTACTGAATGTGCACCTAGCGAAGCAAAACAAGGCCTCCAGAGCCAGCGCAAACCAGAAGGAAAGGAGGCTACAACCGTCAACAACAGCTGCAGCTAGACAAGGAAGTGGCCTGTCTGAAGATAGTCAAGGAGTCCAATAAGGAGTCACAAGATCTCAGACCAGAATCACTATTGGACCAAAGGGAGGGCAAGTAGTCTGTAAGGGTATAAGTGCCCAGGGATTTTTTGTTCAGGGTCCCGCTCTGGAGGCACCCAGTTCAAGCTAATTCCGCCCCTGTACCACTCTACTAAGTAATTTTATAGGATTCGATGCCTGAGACTTTGCTTTGGAAAGCCTAGGGTTTGAACTACGGAGCGAAATAACACCGGACGCCTGGATGGCAGGTGCCTTCTTTAACATCAAGGTTTGAGATTTCTTACCTGAGGCTGAGGGATCTTTCCTTCCCCAAGGCAGGGAGACCCCTTACTTGCAACAGATCCTCGGTAAGTGACTGATAGCATGTCAGATGAATGTCTGTTGAAATCCAGGTAGCTAGTTCCATTAGCCATAAAGTGTTGACCAAGTCTGCGACTAACTCTGGATCCAGCCCCACCAAGACACCTCTCTGAGAAGGAGTTAAAAAAACAAGGGAGACCATTCTGAAACTCCAGACTTAATGGGAGGGTCTCCCTTACTCTTTGGCATCTCCGGCCTCTCTGTAAACCATTCTAAACTGATTCTAAATCGATTTGCCTTTGTATCTTTGTTCCATGCAGTAAGTAATAGAGTGAATCTTGCCATTGAACTCTGTTAAGTTGCACTTCTACAGATTCAGGTTAAAATCACTGTTGCTAATACCTTTGATGGTGATGCTTGAAGCGGTTTAAAACACTTATCTGCAACAGCTGGGAAGAAGGTTTAAAACCATGGGCAGCTTTAAAGCCCATGGTGAGCACAGAGATTTTGGCAAGATTCCATGCAGGTGTGCATGGGCAACCGTGTGTCTGCCTGTGCTTGTGTGACCCTCAGGAGGGCATGTGCAGGTCATAGCAAGGGGACTCTTGCTCGGTGTGTTCACAAGCTGCACAGAGTAGCGGGTTCACGTTGACATAAGGAACAGTGGCTGGAACTGGAAGCTACAGCCGCATGGTGCTAGCTTTGACCTGGCAGAGAGGTGCCTGGAAAGCGAGCACTGAAATGCATTCTCTGCCTCCTGCACCCTCCATTTCTTGCTTTGTGTGCACAGAGAGAGAGAATGCAAGGACCTCACAATAAATCTGCATTGGACTATAGGGACACGGGTCCAGACGTTGCTCTGCTGTGAGGTGTAGGATAGTTGGACCAACCCAACTTAGAGCTAGCGTAGCTGAGGGCTGGCCCTTTGTCTGGCTTGCTGAGAACACATTGGTTGACATTCTGAGTGTGCCGCACTGTGAGGAGCATAAGAAGGCTCTGACATGGTGGGAATTTTCCAGCCAAGGGTCTACGTTCCAGTCTCAGCTGAGCTGCTCCTCAGAGCTGCTGACTACCTTGGCTCCTGCGCTTTGAGCTTGCCCAGGAAGGAATTGCCCCACTGTGCTCTACAAACAAGGCCCTTCTGCCCTTTTTGTTGGGGTCATTTTTACTTTTGAGCCCTTCCTCTTCTCTTCCCCAGGCACTTCCTGGGCACTCCCTCTTGTGATTCTCCTGACGTTTCTTGGACTGGAGCCCCTCTGGTGGCAATCCACCTCCCATTTCTGTTCCTCCAAATTGCTCTTACAGTGAGCCG